CCACCTAGGGTCACCTGCTCACTCGTGAATAATCTATGGAGTTAACACTGAGATTTTAAAAATCTCTCATAAAATATTTATGGATAGTTGACATCTGCATTGTTTGTAGAGTTCACATACAGTTTCATCTGAGCAATCTGACTTGTTTCGTTTTTCTCTGTGTGTGCAAGTCCTGATATTGCAACTTTTCTGGCTGGGTAACTCTCAGATGTGAAATTATTCTGCAAATGCCAATGTTTGAGTTAAAAATGTTTTCTGTAAAAAGTGTGCGGTATTCCCCCAAGCAACAATGTGCCTGTGATCAACTCTTCTGGCAAACCTGTTTGCTACAGGATCTGTAAAGTGAGTGCAAAAGGGGAAGGAAGGCAGGCAAAGAGTATCTGAGATTTTTTTTTCATGCACCAGTAAGAATTATTTTATATAGTAGCCTAGCTTTAAATTCACTACAGTTTATTTAAATAAAGTGGTATGCAAAGTAATGATGGATATTTTAATGAGTAGCTCTACCACAAAGATGTTTTTGAAATGGTGAGAAGAAATTAGAAAACTTTTTTTGGAAACAAAATATAAATTACTGTAAGTGTGACGGACTGTCATCATGCAGTCTATTTCAGTCAAGTCGGTGGCCCAGTTAGTCTCTAGTTCCGGGGAACCCAAAAACATAAAATGACATGAAACACATCTGAAAAATGCATCCTCTCATAGATGTTATAAAGTATGACCATACACATGGGTCAGGCAGTGCCAGTCAGCTGCACAGTTATCAACTTTTCTCTTTTTGATGGAAAAATGGTCTGGTTCACTTATTTAATCACTATTTCACATTTTTCTGATGGTGCGCCGGAGTTGACCCAGTGTTGCTTCCTGTACATTTTCATCTGGAAAGTGTATTGCATATCCACATCCTGTTCCATACTCATGCCAATATTTTTAACACATCACCAAAGGTCGGGTATTGCAAAGCTGTTCCCAGTAGAGGCCAGGTTGTTACTCCACATCCCGGAAAAAATCTGCTCCAAGTCCTGTGATGTGAACACTCATTGAGAGGATGCTTCCCGGTTGCTCATTTTAGACATAGACACTGTCTGTAATGGAAGGAGCAGAAATGTGGCACCTTTTCATAAGAGCTGCACAGAGTACGGGCAGTGTCGCAGGCAGGGGGACAAGCCATCCTCTGATGGATGGGCGTTCCAAAGTCTGGGCTGGTGAAGGACGTCAACATAGTATGTTTTCTTTCCTTGTTGTACATTAAAGTCTTTCCCCTTGCAGTCCTGAGCCAGCTTCCCTAGCCTGGGGTCCTGCGTCCCTGAGCAACCCACCTTGTGCTGGGCCATGGTTCAGCATACGGTCTCTGAAGACCATGTTGTTTTTGAGGTAAGTCAAGTGACTTTCTTGTCAAGAGGTAGGACTGAAGATGGAGAGCACTTGGTTTTATCTTCTAACAGAGCCTTAGCTACCCTTGAGGAGTCTCTGTCTTGGTGGTCTTATTTGATGGGGGGAGGGAGGTGACACTCCCCGCCCAGGGATGCATCGTGTCTGTAATGCTCTGGAGGTCAGGTGTACCTAATGCTGGCAGTGCCAGGGTTTTTCTCTGAGTGTCTGATTGAGAGCAAACAATGATTCCACCACCTGTAAAATATTGGAGCCACTGACAAACAGACTCTTCCAGGCCCTCCCTGGATTTGGATTCTTTGCCATAAGGTGTTCATGTTAGTGGAGGGTTTCCCTGCCTATGGCAGAGGGGGTGGAACTAGATGATCTTTGAGGTCCCTTCCAACCCTAACCATTCTATGATTCTATGTTCTTCAGTGTCATAAAACCTGCCTTTACTTTCCACTAAATGCTTTCCAACAGTTTTTAAGTCACTGAGACACGTATATTACCACATGCTACTTTTTTATTTTATTTTATTTTTTATGAATAGGACACATTTTATTTGGATCAATAAAATAGGTATCTACTACAATACAAGAAATCTCCACAGCAGTTCCTGGAATACAGAGAAATTAAACACGGTTCTTGTAAATCTCTCCTTCTCTTGTAGCTCCAAATTATGAATTAAATAAATAAGAAAACCATAAATACACATTTCAAGATACAGCAATTATTAGGTAAAAACATTATTCATCTCCTCTTCGACTCCATCCTTGTACTGCTTAAAGCAATTAATTAACAAATGAAATACTATGATACAGCTTTCTCAACAGACAAAACTCTTGCTGCCCTGGACCCTGTGTTGGATCGTGTTAGCTACAAGGGCAGGTACCACAAATGCTCACTGTCTTAATTACCCCAAATGCAGCCAATGGATTTTTTTCTAGTGTCTGTCCACCTTCTTTACTTTTGATTTGCTTAGGGAATGAGAACAAAAAAGGGAACTGGAGATTACCATTCTCCCTGCTCCTTGAATGTATGCATGGCTGTGCAAGAGAGTAGCCCCACCGAATTTACCAGGTTTCCTTCTGTCAGGATTTCTATGGGCTGGGGAGGGGGGTGCAGTGTGGTTGGTCAAGTTTGTAAAAGACGTTTCAGGAAAATCTTGGCCCTGGCTCCATCTTGGTTCAGTCATGGAGGACCTGATGTTGGCAGGGTCACAGCGTCCGTGCTATTACACAGGGGCAATGGGTCAGGGTCTAGTTTAAAGCTGGGGTGGACCCCTGTCAGAAAACTGCTCTGGTGCTGTTCAGGTGTGCAGCCTTCAGTGGGCATCGGCGTTGCTCTCATGGCCACACATGGTCAGTACGGGGCCACCATCGCCTCTTCTCCTTGCCTTGGCAGCAGCTGGGGCCTTTCAGTGTGTGGTTAAGGAGAAGCTGTGTTCTCCTTCTTTGCCAGGAGGAAGAAAGAAAAGCAGGAGAACAAATCATCCCTCTGTCAGGCTGCTGGGCCAGAGAAGGGCTTTTGCCTTTAGTAAGGTAGAGGGGAGAGTCTGTGTGATTTGTAGCTGTCTTCTGTGAGTTGTTGAGCACCTCTGAAGAAGAAGCCCGTGACTGAAGCAGTGATGGACAGCCCAACACGAGGGATGACGGATGCTTTATGAAGGGCTAGTGCCTCTTCCATCCTTGACAGACTCTGGACTGAGTTGGCTCTGGCTGTATGAAAAGCCATAGTACGTTTTAAAATAAGAACTTCCTTCCCTGTCCTACTGCCTTCTCCAGCAGGTCTGGCCCCACATAGGTGTCCTCTGCCACCTGCCTTGGAGTCACCAGAGGCATTTGCTGTGTAAAGCTACCAGGCAGCTCCAGTTGCTTTCATGTCACACAGACTTTGGTTGCTCAGGTTGTTGAGCTGCAAACCTTTCCTGTGTGCTGCTCCACCCTGCTCACCCCAAAGCCAGAGGACTTGTCTGCTTTAGCAGCCCTTCCCTCCCGTCCAGGCGGCACCCTGGTACCTCTGAGCTGGGGACCCCTCTCTGGGGATAACTGCCTGAGCCCGCAGCTCTGCAGGCTGTAATCCAAGGCTCCCTCAGTCCTGTGCTGTAAGAGAAATTCAGAATATGCTTTTTTCTAAGTCCAGGTTGAAGATAATCTTAACACAAACAGTGGATGGAGTCAGCAGGTACTCCAAGTGCAGAAGTTGCCCAGATGTGGGAGCCGTAACCACTGCTAACGCTGCTGGTGTATGGTTCAGATCTTTGGTGGGTTCATGGCTCTGGAGCCTCCTCACCTCAGTACCGTGGCACTGCGTATGATGGCATCTCACTATGTTTTACTACACTGGCTGCAGGCAACCAAGTTTCAGATGGGAGCTTCTTTCCTGAAGAAGCTTTCCTTTCTTTCCTTTCTCTGCTTCTGTCATAGAGCAACACCTTTGTTTTTCATTTATGCTTCAAAGCACTGGCAGTTAGATTAGAGAAGATCATCATTACTATGAGCAACAGGAGATACACGTCCTCCAGTTTTGTATTGAAAGTACTGTATTTAGGCAAATGAAAGTCTTTTAAAATAACCAGGGGACCACTCATATGAGGCAAGTCCTGTTCGTGACTAATATGATATTGCAACACTAGTGAAACCTTTTTTGTAAAACTTTTTTTTTTTTTTTTAAAAGGAAAACCCCAGGGGCCATGACCAGCAATTTCTAAATTGAAAAAAATGTTGAGAATACTTTTTGAGCAAATTCCATTAAACTCATCTATTCATAAGCACAGGTCTCCTATATGCAAATATCTCATGTTTAGTCACCTAGTTGCACCATTTACATGATTTCTTTCCTCCTAGTATGTCATGAGCTTCGTGAACTATCCTGTACTGCATAGCTAGAGAGTAAGTTGCCAACTATTACTTAACAGATAAGCAGATTCTATGGAAGAAAGTATCTCTTGAGGCTATCCAGTTGCTCATGGTTTGATCTGGCAGGACACTTTGAAACGCCCATCGCTTGTCACATAGGAAAGTTCGGTAAATGTGTGTTTATAACCTTGCTCAGTCCTGACTCGCCTGTTCTTTTACCATTTTTACGTTTTTTACTTCTGTCTTGAAACATCAAAACGGAAGGAAAAAAGATGTTTAGCGTGTGTCATTCAACCAAGCGTATCGTAAGATGTGGCTTTTTATCTCACGATACGAGAGGGAGGACAAGCAGTGGTACACAATGAGCAAACCCCTTGGATTTAATGGCACTCTAATCGATTTGTTGCCTTGCAGGAATACACAAACTTCTTGGTAGGTTTTTCTTGTTGTTAGTCCCAGCTGATTCAGACAGCACATGTAAAACATTGAACAGGCCAGCAGTAGTTTCAGTATAGAGTCAAGACATAATTCTGGTGGGATATTTGGGATTTTAGTATATCACAACAAAGAAAAGCCAATAAGTTGCATCATATTCACTGTTTTTACCTTAGTTAGCTTCTCTCCCACCATTCTGAGGCAATGGCATCAAGTAATAAAAAGGATATTGTATTCCCGGATGTGCTGTGCTGTGTCTGCTGTCTCATTGATCCTAGAGCGCCTTGTCCTGGCTGAAGGACCTTCTCTCTTCCCGAGTGATGCTGAGCCTTATCAGTCCGCCTCAAAGGCACTGTTTGTTGCTCCCAGGTACTCTGACTTCTTCTTATGCTTCATCCACATCTTCCTCAGGAGGCTGGGTGTCCCGCACAGGTTGCCTCCTGTCAGCGGTAGGGAAGCTTCTGCTCCGGGTGGCAGGGTCAGGTCATACTCTGCTGACTTCTTCCAGTGCTGCTTGTGGCTGGCAAACAAAGTACAGGTGTGTAAAGCATTCATCTCCACGGCCCTTCTCCCCTGCTTATGACAAGCGGTCACCGAAAACCAAGGGCTGCCCATTTACGAAGGTATGTGTGTGCCTGACCTGTCCCTGGGACTGGCGAGTCCAGGGTGAGCTAAGGCTGTGCTGGGGCAGTGGGTTTGCACATCGCAGCTGCCCCCATGCCACTTCATGCCCCTTGTTCCCTTGCTGTCAGGGTGAACACTCACACCAGGGGATGGGCTGCAATTAGGAACTGCTTCTAAGTGCCTCCTGTATGCTGTTTGCCAGCAGAGAAGAAGCTGGTCGGTGGCCCGGGGGCAGAGCTGAGCCCTCCTGACAAAGCCCTGGGGACTGTGCAGCAGCATCCAGGTGGGGTGAGCTCCACATGGCTGAGGGAGATTCATGTCTCTGCGTATGGAGTGCGAGGACACTGTGACACTGAGCTTGTTACTGTCCCTCAGGTGGCAACGGTGGCATCCAGTCACTCAGATCTGTGTCTGGATTAACAGCCTACTGATGAGTGCATTTGTATTACAGCCAAGATGTTCCTTAGTTACACTTCAAGACAATAAAGCTTTGTTTAAAAAAATATTTAACTACATTTTCTAAACTGCCTCAGAGCAAATATTATAGACTTCTTCAGGGGAAAACACTTAAATTTTGAATTTAGATGCTTTTCTTTCCAGTAATGGAACAGAGCCGTTAACTGGCAGCAGGACAGCTGTACAAAGATCCATGGCTGACGATACAATCAGCGTGTCCTTTAGCCGATCTCTCCCTGCCTTTGGGCAGCAAGCGGCATGGCTTTATGGTACACCACCGAGGTTTTACAGCTGCCATCCAGAGAAGATCTGCAGCTGAGCACTTATTCGTGTTGCTGGTGAGAGGGTGACCTGCGATGGAGGTGCCCCATCCCCTTCCCTGCCCGGCAGCGCCCACACACAGCCCCTCAGGCTTGGCTGGAGGGGTGGAAAGGGACTTACTCGTCTGTAGGAGCAGCGTCGCCCGTGGGTGAGCCTGTGACAGCCGCCGCTTTCGCTGTGCCATGGGCAACCGGCGATGGCGGGAACTGTGGGAGGAAAAAGCACGACATTAGGAAACACCACTGATGAGCAGGGACTCCAGGTTCATTTGAGGAAAAAGGCTGTTTCAGGAAAATGAATAAATACTGTAAATCTCTTAACGAGAGAAAGCAGCCTGGCTAAGGGCTTGACTGCCGAACTTTTACCCACACGAACACCAACTGCTCATGTCAATGGTCTCACTGAGCTCAGCACAGGGCTCGTGTGAGCAAGAATTACACCTCCCATCGAAGGAGGGAAGCTTGCAGAACTCTGGATTCCCTAGTTTTTACGTCTAGCTTCCCAAGGAGGCAAGGCTTTGTGCAGCCTGCGCAGCCTCTTGCAGCTCTT